GAGTGGTGGTGGTGTCAGGAAAGCACCCTGTCCAAAACCCAAGTGAGCGCCTTTGCCTAACGGCAATGTCCTTTTGCCACAGGCTCCAGTCTGCATAACAGTCAGCCTGTGACACTTGTAATTCAAAAGGCTCATTATGACTAACAGGCCTGAGTGGGAGGGCAGAATGGCAGCAGTTTCTTATGGGAACCATCTCTTACAATCAGGAGAAATATTGCACACACTTAAAACATCTAGTCCCACAATACATTCGGCAGTATTGATTATGACCATTTGGGTATAGGAAATGTCCATCAAGTATTTTGACTATCAGCCCATTGCCAGGTGGCTTTGTGACAAAAAGTGCATTATTGTCAATCTGCGGATGGTCCAAAATGTTGATAAAATGACAGCTAGTTTCAAGGACCACAGTGTGCAGCCATTGTTGACTGATTATCCTGTAATAGCAACACTGTAACCTAAAAAAAGTGTAAGGCATTATCAGTAGTCCCTAGAGGAGTCCAGCATAATCAGTCTGCCATAAGTGGGCAGGACCAGTATCCTATATGATGTGATCTCTCTCTCCTTCACCTCAAGGCAAACAGGCCAACTTTTGACAGGAGTTACAAGTCTGGCATGCAGTAGTGGCTTCTGCATCAGAAACATTGAGTACTTTCCTTTGTAAAAGTTAGCAGTTTTCTTGACTGCTGAAGGGATTTAGTGTTGTTAATCTGCCCAAATAATCTCAAGAAAATTTCCTTTGCAAGAAGTCATCTTCATTTTGGGGGGCGTGTTTCAACCACCGCCACAGGAGAAGGAATGACACAGACACTCCGAGAATTGTGAGTTGCCAAGCAAACAGGCATCATCTATAGAGGAAATACAGAGGATAATCTATAGATGAATATAGAGGACATCAGAAGAGACACTCACAATATATCTTGACCCACCCACTGGTGGTAAATGGTGGAGGAGTTTGTCATCTTAGCACCTCTCCGTCTGGGCAGTGCCCTGAACAGGAGAATCTGACACTTTATGAGCTTCTGACACCTCTGCCATTTTATGAACATTCATAGAACTAGCATAGAATGCAACAAAATTTAACTATACATTTAGCAGTGGAATCTGTAGTAAGAATACACTGAACCAGCCCAAAGTTATCACACATAAAGTCACTTTAACTTCTTTTCTCGTTGTTGAGTATTGCCTAAATCCTATCTGTAGAATTCGGGCACTCTTTCTATAATGCACACCAAGGTGTTATAACAATTAAGCCTTATAACAGCTGCCAAGAAATCACGGTATCTCCATCTGGGAGTTTAGGGAGTTCAGGGGGTGGGGAAAGGTTCCCAAGGAGTAAAGCGATGGCCAGACAGGCAGCAAGGCTCTCCTTCCTTTGGCTTTTCACCCCAGGGTCAGTGCTACCTCCTTTTCCAGACACTTCTCAGAGTCAGGAGAACAATGGAGTTCATGAGCTCTTTCATTTTGTCCCTCTACCCATGCTTCCATGGCTTTTCTCCGCATTACTTAGAACAATCTGCCAAACTTTCACCAGATACCTCTTCCTCCATGAGACTGGGTAGGATGCAACTTTGTCCCCTATACCCAACAGTTCTATAAAAGTTTCAATCATGTCCCTTTCATTGTGAGGATGTTAATCTAAATTGCTCTACAACTGACCTATCCATAAAGAAATATAGAACACTGTGTTTCTGAGAGGTAAAACAAGTGTGCTGTCCAAGATCAATATTCAATTTGGGAATTTTTCTAGGAGACATCTAATGGGATTCCATGGGTAAAGGATTTGTGATTAAGTTTAATCATGGGACTGTGTTCACATAAAAACCTACACTTTAAGGGAAAGCCCAGTAGACCTTACAGATTTGTAGCAGTAAAGCCCAAATATCTCCTCTTTCCTCATTTTCCCCCAGTTGCTGAGGGAGCAAGAAAGCTCAGCTAATCAGGACAAAGAATTGCAACTTTATACAGAGAGTCTGATGGAGTGAAGATAGAATCTAAAAATTGTTTAGCCGTTGCATTTAGTAGGATATAAAGAGAGTGTATATTTTTTTCTTTACACTTGAAACATGATCAATTATATATATTTATTGGGTACAGAGTTGACTATCATTATTTGTGTATAATATGAGATGATCAAATCAGTATTATTAGCATGTTCATCATTACAAATCATAATCATTCTTTGTATCCATTGCCCAATTTCTTCCTAACCCTCCTCCCCCTTGCCCACCTCTAGTGACCATAGATATATTCTCTTCTACTGAAAGTTCAATGTATTATGGTGGTTGTTCCTTCCTTTACTTCTTTCTTTCCTCCTTTTGTTTTTATTATTTTTATTTATTCTTGATTATACATACTTATGGGGTGCAGAATTGATTATCAGTATCTGTATACAGTATATGATGATCAATCAATATTATTAGCATGTTCATCATTACAAATCGCAATTACTTTTTGTGTTCCTTACCCAATTATTCCCTGTCCGCCTTCCCCTTCCCTCTTTCCTGTTGCTAGTAACTACAGGTCTGTTCTCTTCTTCTGAAACTTCAACGTTTTATTGTGGTCTTTCTTTGCTCCTATTCATGAGTGAGGACATGGTATTTCTCTTACTGTTCCTGGCTTATTTCACTAAAAATTTTTTCCAAGCTCATCGATGTTGCTGCAAATGGGAGAATTTTATTCTTTCTTATGGCTGAGTAGAATTCCATTACGTATATATACCACATTTTCCTGATCCAATCACCCTTCGATGGACATTTAGGTTGGTTCTATATCTTGGCTATTGCAAATAGAGCTGCAATGAACAT